CGGGCAGATCGTGGCCACCTCCTCGCAGCGCACCCTGCGGCCCTCGCTGCCCAGACCCTGCCCCGTGCACCCTTATGATTTATTCTTTATTCAGGTTTCAGCAATGTGTCGAAATTCACCCCGATGATAAACTCAGGCACTATAAATAATCGGTCAGCAATGGTGGTTGGGTTAAAACACGACGGAATGGCTTTTAAAAAAAAAGAAGGATTTTCTGGTTTGTTCTGTTTTTGAAGCTTTTCTTAGAGGAGGCTGTTGGGATGGACTTGTTAATACTCTATTTTCAATTCTTTTGTGATTTAGGCATAGACAATATTAATTATTGGTCCCCCACTATGTTCTTCCAAACGGAACTGGAAGATTTGTGTAGGATTGAAAACAGGGAGAGTAGCTCACCACCCGTGGAAACCCCAGGTTAAGCTTCCAGATCTTTTTCATCAGCTTGTAAAAGCTCTTGTTTCAAACTGGGCAAATGCGCTTCCCACCCGCGTGGCAGCTCCAGCTCCCCTCCACACTTGGGCTGCCTCTGGTGAGGTAGGTGCTAAAATGGGACCTGCTAACATCCGATAGTGGCTAAGAGCACTTTGGCCAAACTAAGGTCTTAAGAAGTTGGCTACAGTTAGTGGACAAAGATGCTACAGATCTTTAATCTGTAGTCTAGAGAGAATGGGTTTAAAGCCTGTGTGAACTCCGTGAGTTGCTGGTGTGCCTGGAGGTAACTGAAGAACGGCTCATGGGAAGGAAGGAGGATTGAAGTCAGCGGGTCTTGGAGGGGGCTTTGGGCAAGAGCTGGCAGGGATGGTGCCTCCCTGCATGGGGGAGAGGTGGAGGGTCTGACAAAGTGCAAGTGACATTACTCCTGTGAGAAGGGGCAGCAACCACAATGAGCAATGCTTCCTGAAGATCCTTGTCAGTAGCATGGTGGTCCCCCTCCAACTGCTACCAGCATTGCCTGTGGTCGTCCTCCATGTCTCCTCCCAGTAGAAATTAAAATCTCTTTTTCATCCCTAGGCAAAGCCAGTTGCCAGACTCCCCACCGGACTCTGGGTCGGAACCGTGTTCTCCGCCACAGCTCCAGAGTAGGTCACATGAATTCTCTCTCTCCCAAGCTTGTAGGATGGTCTTCAGCGCCTCTTCTTTCTCTTACTTTCTTGTCTGTTTACTTTTTGCAGCCACATGGTATGACGCTACGTGGCCCAGTGGGCTGCAGTCTCCGCTTTCATGCCTGTCTGCTGTGGCACCCAGCAAGCTTCCCTGCAGGTTCATGGAGACTTACTCTGACCCCAGTGCCAGTGGGCATCCTTGCAGCATCCCCCGAGGCTGCTGTCTGAAGACAGAAAATGCTGTGACTCCTTGGAATAATTCTGCATCCTCCAGTTGTTTGGGTTTTAATTATTCATACTTTCAGCCAAATGCATCTCAGATTTCTGGGTAAATGATAAAGCTTTTATGCAAAGTATGAGACAGATACAAAAAAAAGTAGAGCAGGTAGAAGACATGGTTTAAGACTGGTGTAAAATCCCAGTGGGTGTAGGGTTTTCCACAGGATGGCAGTGTTTAGACATTTTTGAGACACTTGTGGTTGAGGGTTCTTTAAACATCTTGTTTGAAGTTCAGATTGGAAGTAGGAATGGATTTCAATTTTTAAAACATTAGAAGGCTAAAGAGGGAACAACAGGTGCTGCATAACTGGATTATAAAAACATTCAGGTGTTTTGCAATACCTGTTGCAGGGATTTGTCCATGAAGATCTTGTAAGTGTTCTGACAAGTGGCCTGAGAGAAAAAAAAAATAGTCATATCTATGTAAGCAAGTGAAATGGTATTCGTATACCATCTGCCATATTCACCCACTAGCATGTTTGGATGCTTAATTACTTAAAACACACTGGCTAGTGCAAGCATCCAACCATGATACCTAGTAAGAATGAATTGACTGAGGCATGCCAGAGGGGGACCTCTGTGGTTATAAGGAGAGAAATGTGAATTCATCAGTGTTAGTCCTGGGCTTGGAGATGCTCTGTCCCTGTCTCCTCTTCAGTACAGACCTCGATTGCGTGTTACGTGTGATGTGGGGGAAGGAAGCTATGCCTGGGTTTCTCAGTGAAGTTATTTGTGTTCTTTGTTTTGCAGTAGAAGGTGCCAATTAGTCAAAATCATATTATTTTTTGAGGGAATACTTTAGTGATTGGAACTTAAGATACAAAATACTTCTTAACCAAATGTGGAACTTTTGAACAAACCCACAAAACGAATAACAATGTTGTGGGTGGGCTTTTCTTCTGCTCATGGAGAAACCTTAATTTCAGCACCTACTAGGCCTGACTGAGTCCTGGAGTTCGGCTTGTTTTTTCCCCCATCCAGGAGGAGTGACCATCTGTCAGGATATTCCAGCTTACATTTTATAATATCAAAACTTTGGAATAAGGTTTTTTCCCTTTGCACAAAGGAGCATTTTTTGAAATCTCAGTTTCTGGGAAAGGGGAAAACTGTTACCCATCAGTTGCCCTGTGAGATCTCTTCATTAACGCATTAGTTTAATTGCTACTAGTGTTTTCTGTGTAAGAAGGAAAGTGAGTTCACGCTTGGTGGAGTACAATTATTTAAGATAAAGCTGTGATTTTAATGCAAATGTCAAGAGACAGTAAAACTGTGCCACGTATGCACTGTGTAAATTTTTAAAAAGACATCAACTTCTCTATTCATATGAAATAAAAAAATAAACTAATTCATGTTTTGGAAGGAAAAATTGCATAATTCAGTTTTAAAAAGCCAACAGCTATCTCCTTCCCCTGGCAAATCAGAATTTGGGTGACAATACAGTTAGTATGAAATACTTGGGTATTCTCTTGCTATGATTCTGAATTATCTGTATTTATACTTATTTTAAATGAGTAATGCAACGTGTATTTTTAAAAAAGTATTTCTGCAGCATCAGGCAAAAAAAGGAAGCTCTCACAATTACTGGGAGATGCCACTGATTCTCCAGTCCAGTCTCAGGACTCCAGACAAAGTAAGCAACTGTGTGAAGATGAAATTTAATGTTTCATACCATAGACAAGTAAATGTATTAAGACCACAGTTCCTGCTGGCTCTGAAAAGGTAGCAGTATTAACAGTCTGTGCTCCACTACCAGGTTTGGAGGAATTTACCTTTTCAGTGTTTTTGAAAACGAGGACCTATTTATATTTGGTGAAGAGAGAAAAAGCGTTAGAGGTTCACGCTTCCTGAGGACTCTCTGTACAAAATATTCTGCCCTTCTCCATGTGTGAGCCTGCAGTACACAGATGATACCATACTCTGCTGACTTTGCTTGGCGCTAAATTGACTGGGCAAAAAAAACATCTTGGGTCAGCTTAACAGGGAATTAATGTGGTGGATGAGCAAACAGATTGCAGTTTTCCTTTATCATCTCAACTCCATATTTTTTCTACAAAGTGTATCCATGTGCAAGCTTGGTAAAATCTGTGTGTTCTTCCCTACCCCTTCCCCAAATTAATTTGGTTCATTGTTCTGTCAAGATAAAAATGCTAAGCTTATACCAATTGATACAAAAAATCGTATCAGGCATGTACAGAAATGGATCAGCTTCTGTGAAGTGTGAGGCTCTCTGTGAATGAACAGTTTGTAATGAACAGTTTATCTGAGGAATTTCACCCTTGTCTGTTAGTGGAAAATCTGAGAGTTGCATGTTATTTTTTCAGAATAAGTTATTTTTAAGCATTAAAATCAATGTTTTAGAACACTTTTAATAAGTAGCAACTGGATTTAGTAGGTCACTTATCCTTTGGTATCTTTTATTTGATCAGTGTTGCTTGGTTGTGGCTAGTCCTCTAAGTCTACCACTGCTGGAAAGAGAAGATGAGCAGACGCTTCAGTGTCTAAAATTGCTATTGCTGTTTTTAATACTTAAAGACACAGCTTTGAAATATGCTTTCCTTGGGAGTCACTGTTAATAAAATCTCACTGGCACACATGCTATTGGAAAAAGAACACAGCTATTGGTAAAAATGGCATGGGGAACATTTAGAAATGAGGTGTGAATTTCTTTACTGTGAGGTTTTTTTTATATTTTCACTCTGATGTGTGTCAGAAGTGGGGAATTGCAAATGAAGCTTGGGCCTGAAATGATTCTGTAGGCTCTGTCTTACTGTGCTGCCACTGGCTGTGGGAGGATCTTAGCTTATATGCTCAATGACATATTTTCTCCTGTCCTTACTGTACTGCATTTATCTGTCTCTTATAACATTCTCCTCCATCTTCATAAAATATGTAATATTTCAGAGAATTATGGTTGTCCCTATCTATCTCAGAATGCTGTAATGTATCATCAGAAAGCATTAACCAGTCAACCAGATGTAGTGGTGAATGTGCTTGCTATTAGAAAACTGTGCCTCCTGCTCTGGAATGAAGTACCTGTTGCAGTGAGTTGGAGTATATTCAGTTTAAACCTGTAGTAGAGAGAATGGGAAACATATGTAATTATTTTGCTTAATTGCTTCTTGCAGTGTTGCAGATTTACAGTAAAATGCTTAGCTTGCCTTTTGTTTTTTTTTCTTCTCCCCAAAGGAAACTATCCACCCTTTCGGAGAGAATAAAAATAGGAAGTGCTACTTGTGTAATATTTTGCAAATCAGGAAAGTTGAAAAATTTATTTTCTAGGGCAAGGGAATATAACACAATCTTTTGGAATTACTGCAAAGGACAATAAGATTTAAATATAAATGCAATATATTTGTGCTTTATATGTATGTATATATATGTAAATATATTTCTAAAAGCGTTTATGCGGGATTTTTGGCTAGTCACAAAAGTAATAACTGAATTGTCACTATCTTTCTACAGCAACTGTTAAGGACTGTGCTGCTGAAGTGCAAGAATATGACAGTGATGGACAGAATGCAGCTTTGGAAAAATGCTCTCAAGCTCTAACATGGCAACCATATCAAACTTCTCAGTGGAACAGCTTATTTAACTCTAATTATGAAAAACTGTAAGCACTGATGTTTGCACTTGGAAAAAGTGGTTTCTTGGGGGTTTTTTTTGCTGGTATTGTAGTTTTGTAGGAATAAATGATACATTTGGCATCCCTTGTTCTTACTGAAAATAAGACTGGAGAAGGAGGCATAGCAGGCATGATGGAATATGAATCTGCAGATGTGCTTTTAGGTGAACAGAGTTCCTTTATACCAGATTTTTAAGTGAGGGTTGTGTAAACTCCTCCACCTCTGGTTTCCAAACATTTCATGGGTCAGACTAGAATTAGAGTACTCTTTATATGCATTTTCATTTTCACACCTCTAAGAGGCTAAGAAGAAAATACTGGTAGAACTGGTGATTGTGAAGATGTATTTTGGCTCCCATTTTGTCAGTAAAAATCAGATGGATTTTCAGACCCCATAAAAAATAGGAACTCAAGATGTCTCTTGATGCCTGTAAAGTTGCTATTCTTTCTTCTTGTTTTTGTAGACCCGCTGTAGGATATCACATTGTCACAGACAAAGGATTTAATTTTTCAACAACAGATGATGCCTTTGTGTGCCAGAAGAAGAATCATTTCCAAATCACAGTCCATATTGGAATCACTGGACATCCAAAATATGTCAAAACTCGGCTGGGGGGGAAACCAATAGAAAAGTTTTACTTGAAAGCTTTTGGAATAAAGGCAAGTATTTCTCCTCTTTGTGATTATTATCCATAGAATAAGGTAAATAATTGAAATGAACTCTTTTCTTAGTCATTTTTGTCAAAGAACAGACAAGAGAACTCTTTTAAGTTACTAGTGACTTCTGTGTGGAACTCGTTTGCAAGGAAGTGGTGTTTTATAGATGCTTGTGCTGATATATGCTGAAAGACGTCATGTTTGCCTGTTTGCCATGGTTTTACTGACTTCCCTCTCTTTGGCTGAAATTTTGTTCCCTGCGTGGGCAGTGCAGGGGTGTCATCTGGTGTGTAGGTGGCCAGTCTACCCATTGGTCAAAGAGATGTGTTGAAAAAAACAATTCACAAAGCAAAGAAAAAGAATCAAATCAAATCTGTTTTTCCTGAACAGTTCACATGTAGAAAACCAACAAAATTTCCCCATTTCTTCTTGCCAGGCTTTCCATTTTCATTTTAAGAACCAAATTCTTCCCAGCCAATATGGGTCCACAAGCTTGCATATACAGAAGTAGTAAGAAATTTTAATCTTTCTGAGAGATTTTACCAGGTTTCTTAGTTACCGCCAAAATTCACTGGTGTAAAAAATCCATGTAGCTCTTTTACAAGGCAGTTCCTACCAGTTTTGCTTAATGCATTCTAATGCAGAAGAAATGAGGGAATATTACTGTCATCTGTTCCCATCTGAAGCAAAGTGCTGCTTGGTACCATTCCAGAAAGTTACAGAAATTTACATTAAAATAATTTATGGAACTACCTTGCATAGGTTCAGTTCTCATGTTAAATATCTACGTTTATGCTTCAGGATAGAATAAGCCAATAACAGTCTAGATTCAGAAAGCAAATTTTCTTTTGCAAATTACTGCATAACTTTTGCTTTTTTTTTCCTTTCAAATTATGTCCACAGAATGATTTGGGGCTTCAGACTAGCTGGAACACAGCACTGTCAGGTGTCAATTGATCAGGAGTCAATTCCCATGTTACTTTCTATACAGTTCCATGAAAATGAGAGAGATTTCACTGTTTCAGACACAATTTGCCTATTGATTTCTATTGCAAATTTTATGCAATGTTTGAAAATGCAATATTCTTGTTATTTTTGAAAATTCTTTTTTCTTTGTAGGCAGAAGCTCCAAATCAAACAATTGCTATTGAACAGTCTCAGCCAGATCGAAGCAAAAAAACTTTCCATCCTGTTAAGTAAGAATTTTGAGAAATTTATTCCATTTTATTTCAATACTTGATTGGTCGGAAATGTGAAGTAGTTGTTTCCTGGAAACTTATAGTAGCTCTAAGCCAATCTTCTGATCTTTATCGAAATTCCATTCTGGATGTGCACATAGAATCACAGTAGTAATATATACCTGGTCTCCCTTCATTAAGGAAAATTTTCAGCAGCTTTACAAACGTGTTAAGTATGCCTGTCCAAAATATTTATATGCAGCTAGCAACACTGTTGTATAGTGTTTAAAGCTGTATGGCAGATACATTTCCCATCTTAAGAAATGTCGGTAATGTTCCTGTTCTACACGGGCATGAGATGTATTTGCAGTGCTTTTAAGGGGGAGTGCCTCTGCTAGAAACATACATGCAGCTTCTCCCTGGAACTCTCCGCCATTCTTCTGCATCTTAACTCACTGGCAGAATCAATGTTTGTTCTTCTGGTGTAAGTGTCTTCTGTTGGAGCTGTTCTGTTCGCTATAAATAATTAAATAAGCCTTAAACTAGAAAAAGATAAGACAGTGTCAAGTTTGACAGGACACTGCTGGGATAAAGGCTGCAATATATAATCTGCAAAAATGAACTTTAAGCTTGGGAGAAGAGCTTGATTTTCACTTAATTACCTCTATCATGGCATTTTTCTTCCTTTTGCATACTGAAGAATAGAGTCTGGGTGTAAATCATTTCATGGGTCATGATGGTCTAGTTTTCATTTATACCAGATGAGAACGCAGTTGGTGGACTGTTGTTTTCTCATGCAAACTCTTTATTCATATTATTTATCACTTACAGGAGCAGTGCCACTATGTATTCGAGACATAGGCCTATATTTTATACTTCCAGACATAAAAATTAGGTGCAGGTGAAAAAAGGGACAAGCAGTAAAATTTATTAATTTTAATGTGGACATTCAGATCCAATAATAAGCAACGTTACCCTTGGCAAGTAACAAATACCCATCCTATGGAACACATGCAGTTTTATTATTTTCAAGACTGTGTACAAACAGACTAAGAAACACAAGACTCCTATTACTAAGAACAGTTTCCCACTGCTGGTGCTTTATCCTGTTTGTTTATCTCCTTGACATAGTCACTGTTTTTAATGCATTTTTATAAACCAGGATTACTGCATTTTTACTGGGGTTTCTCTGTTTTTTCATTTGTCAGTTTTTCTCAAAACTGTTTTGATGAGTTTGAGGAAATCTGGCTTGAGCCAGGTAGATCTCCAAATGCTTATTTCCCTGATCTTGTTTCCTTTTCTATTTTAGAGTTGATGTGCCAGGAGACCAGATAACTAAAGTAACACTGGGAAGGTTGCATTTCAGTGAGACAACAGCAAATAATATGAGAAAAAAGGGGAAACCTAATCCTGACCAGAGGTATTGCTGTAGCTAGTTGGCCTGTGTGTGTGAAGTGGAAAAGAGAAGGTCTACTTTAGAATGGAGCTGATGTTTGTGAAAAATCTCAGCGTTGCCAAATCCTGTGGTTTTTTAAATTTCAAATTCTGTGATACTTGGTATCTGCTTAAAGGCCTCTCTTCTAGAGTCACAGAATGATGTGAGAATAAAAGAAAATATCTCATCCTCATGGTTAGAGATTGTTTCAGGAAATCACAGCCAGAATGTTGGCTGACAAAATCAGGCAGCCAAAAAACCAAATAATGATAATTTTCTTCTGGGGAAGGAAGGGTCTTCATCTTTGAGTCTTCATTACTTAAATTTGTCAAAATTACTGTAATCTTTGTTCATTTTCAGTGATTGTGGAGCTTGAAAGAGCATATTACTTGAGAGTGAAGGAAATATTTTTTCTTTCATGTTGTAACATATATATTTAAAAAAATGTTCTGGCTATCTTTTTATGTATCAGTAATAGCAGTTGCATTTAAAACATTTTATTTTTTTCTGTGAAAAGACATTACTTCAATTATTATCTTGATTAAATCAATTTCAAATTAGATACTTCATGCTGGTAGTTGGATTGTATGCTGTCTCTCAGGACCAATTCTACCTACTGTCTGCAAATGTCTCTGAAAAGATCATTGTGAGGGTAAGTAGAAATTTATATTGCTTTCATGTGAAAAGTATTTACAAAACTGTTTTGATATTCACAGGAGACTATGAGGGGGGATTCTTGGGCATAAAAATTACCGTTGAATCAAAAAGGTTGAGGGAAAAAAATTACAGTTGCATATTGTATAAGTTTGTGATTATCTTTTAATTATCGGGATTTTAAAATGTTAAAAGTAGAGCTATAGAGGAATTTAAAAAGAAATCTTGTTGTGAATTCCAATACAAAATACGTTGATTTTTCCAGATAGTTTTTTCTTTGAGGTCAAACAACTTCCTGCACTTGCCAGGAATTTGGTAAATGCTTTCATTGGCTAGATGCTTGATTTTCAAAGGAGGATGAGAATGAAAAAAAATGTAAGGAAAGAAGGTCAAGCAGCTCTAGGAAGATTAAGACTCATAGCTGCCCCTTTCCAGTGTGTTTCCAGGGTGTCCCAGCTCTTAATTTGGTGGTTGTAATATAGGTTTCAAAATAGAAAAAGGAAGAATTGGTCTCTCTTCCTCATAACCATTACTTTTCAGTCCTCTGATCCACATAAAATTTTTCTTTTAGTACTCAGCTATAGCCTACAGTTAGAGTTAGGCTTGGAAGAGAGAAAAAACCCAGAGCTCTATTGTAACAGGAGCTGTGGAGTGTTAGGGTTAGGAGAGAGAGAAAGTGCGGAGCCCCAGCATGAGTGGGGTTGCAAGGGGACTGCCAAGAGAAGGTGAGGGCTGCCAAAAGCTTTCAGTCCTGGTCCCTTTTTCGTCTGACCAATAGCTGGTGGTTAACATTTGAACTGGGCATAGTCTAGGGTTATGGTTATTTCTAGGGTGAAGATTATGTTTAGGGCTTAGAAAGACAGGAAATGCATAGGTGTTGTGTGGTGGGGCTGCAAAGGATGGTGAGGGCTCTGGAAGATTGCAGTCCAGTGAATTTTTTCATGTGGGCCAATCGAGGAGCTGCTTCTTGTTTGCCTGGAGTCTTTCTAGTCCTTGGCTTATGGTGAGGAATAGGCTCAGCATTTTGTTTTAGAGTCAAATAAGACCAAGAGCTCTAGCGTATTAAGTGGGGCTGGGAAGGGGCTTCTAAAGAAAGGTGAGGGCTGTCAAAAGCTTTCAGTGCTGGCATCATTTTTTGTAGGCCATTGCTTGGGTCCTTTTTGGTGGCACATCATCTGCCTAGGATTATGGTTACAGCCTGGTTTAGCATTCGGGTTTGGAGAGAGCAAAAGTGCAAATCCCTAGTATGTGTGGTGTTGCACAGGGGTTTCCAAAGGAAGATGAGGGCTTTCAGACAGTTTCAGTCCTGGCTCCTTTTTCATCTGGGCCATAACTTTGTGTCCTCTTGTGCCATAAAGCCTCTTCCTGCAGTTACAGTTAGGTTTCTGGAGGGCCACATGGCCGAGAGCTCCTTTCTGGGTGGAGCTGTGAAAGGGCTTTGAAAGCAGTGTTTGGAGTTCAGTAGTTTTCTGCTCTGCTGAGAATTTTTATCATCCTGGCCATTGCTGTGGGTTCTTTTATTGCAGGACACTGAAGCATTGTGTTTGTATCATGCCTGCATATTTAGTTCTTTTCTTTTTTTGTCCATTAATTTCCACAATACTGCTTTCGTCTGAATTTCTCTTTCTGCATCTAGCAGTGTTACAAATATAATCTTTTTACTAATTTGGGAAAGCTGTTTAATTTTCACATTTGACTCATCCTTGGGATTATTGTTACCTTATAAGATATATATTTTTATGTAAGATTTAGAAATACGTTTTTCTACTGTTTTTAATGTTAGATTCTTTTGAAATTGCAATGAAGAGAGCTCCTTCGATGTGTGCGAGACAGTTTTTTAATAGGAGTCCAGGGAATGAGATTTTGCAAACCTGGCCTCTATTCCAGACAAAGAAAAAAGAAGGCTGTGATTTGAAGTGGTGAAAATATCAACAGGAAAGCTGGAAAGAAAAAAAAAGTAATTTTCCAGATGTCTGATGGGGCTTCAGTGGCAGGGTACAGTGAGCCATCCACTGGCTACCTTAAAGTGGCAAAGCTATGCAAATGCACTGCGAGAGAAAGCAGCTCATGTTCTGGCCCTTTATACACTCAAACACAACTTAAGAAAACTACCGGCTGAGTAGTGGTTATCAGGCATATCAGATCATGCTCTAATTGTGGCAAACAGTGATAAGTGCACAGCACCGTGCCTTGAAGATGGAAAAGCCTTGTGAAAGCCTGGCTTCTTTAAATGAGTGTGAACTTTTTATAGTGATCATACTCTTGTCAGAACTCAAATTTTAAAGCCTGAATTCAAAGTTTAAAAAAAAAAATTAACAAAATAAATTACTGAAATCAAATGCCTTTTCTAATTATGCACACTCTGTTGTTTTTTTGGTGTTCTTCGAAAGACCCTATTTCCTTGACAGGAAATTACTAATACGAGTTAATTTTAAACATTACAGAGGGTTTTATGAACCACATGTGTTTAATCTCTGCCTTGTTTGCCCTTTTCTGATTTCCAGCCTCAGCTAAAATTTGCTGGTAAATAAATGGTTATGTGGCATAATGTCAAAGTTAAAATTTGGAAAGCTTTGGACATTGATAATTTAGCTTAAGATGATAATAAAGTAGAATTCAAGGGACAAAGCGATGAGGCCAATGCTGTATGAGTAGAAACACTTACTTAGAAGTGACTCCACTCTGGTTTTTTCTATTGGTGTGTTAGAAAAGCTCTTGAATACAGTTTAAATATTAAAGATCTGGCATTTCATTTTCCCTGAATTCCTGATAGAATAAGCAATAGTACATCTATGCTATGCTATATCTTTAAACACCATTTTTTTCTTCCAGGCATCTAACCCAGGGCAGTTTGAGAATGACAGTGATGTACTGTGGCAGCGAGGACATGTTCCAGAGACAGTAGTCTATCATGGTCGAGTAGGAATTAACACAGATGCACCAGACGAAGCACTGGTTGTCTGCGGAAATGCAAAAGTTATGGGCAAAGTCATGCACCCATCTGACAGCCGAGCAAAACAGAATATCCGGGAGGTGAGGGCTGTGGAGTGTTTAGGGCATTTGTGTTTGCACCACAACACATGTGTGGATCATTGTTCTGACACGTGAAGCAGCTTCTTTATCCTGGGTGTGCTGAAATGCTGGCCTAAAGGAATCGGGTGTACCGCTGTGCTCTGCAGAGCCATCGCCTATGGACTTCGGAAGAGGCTGACCATAGAAGCTGGGGATATCTGTGTAAATGGGAGTTGTCAGACTGAAGGGTAACTGGCAATACAAACACAAATAGCATTCTGCTAATGGGGAATGGGAAGATTGTCCATATTTTTCAATGCAAAGATTGGCCAAGTGGCCATGTCAGGCTTGTTGCTCTCTCACTGAAGTCCTAGATGCCATGACCATTCTTAATGTTTCAACATATGAATCTTGGTATTTGTCCAACTAGGTCGATACAAATGAGCAGTTGAGAAGAATAACACAAATGAGGCTGGTGGAATATGATTACAAGCCTGAATTTGCATCTATTATGGGAATAAAAAATACCCATGAAACAGGTATTCAGTCAGCTCTGTTCCCATTTTTCATTAACTTCCACTGCTGTTCATTGTGCTGTTCCTTTTAACACCCTGCTATTTCATCCTCATTTCTTAGGATACTACAATTGCACACTTTTCTGTGTTTCTCTTGTGATATAAAAAAGCCAAAATTAAGTATTTCTGGTAATTTTCCAACTTCGGTTTCAATTTTTAAAGATAGGAGGTTATTTTTCCAGAGGTTTAATGAAAATGAAGTAGAAACAATTTTGCTCTTAATGCAGAGAAATGGGAATTCTGAAGGTTTCTATTTGTTTTCTGTGGAATGGGAAAAAAAGAAGTGAAATCTTGGATTTTCCTACCACAGATAAATTGTAGATCATGTTTGGCCCTACCTGTAGCTTTTAGAATGGTCAACTCAAAGCACACAAGCAGGTCAACAGTATGCCACTGTGTTTCCTGACTTTAGTTTATGTTATCTTGTGAACAGGAATAATAGCCCAGGAAGTGAAGGAGCTTTTACCTCAAGCTGTTAAAGAAGTTGGAGATGTTTCTTGTAATGATGGAGAAAAAATAGAAAACTTCCTCATGGTTGACAAGGTATGGTCTTGAGAGAGAAAGTGGAGGTGTGTATTTAGACTGTTCCTTTCACATATGGAGCTATAAACACACTATGCTTTATACAAAGCATTAGGCCTCCACATGTATTTACAAAAATAGTGTTTGGCAAATCATTGAGAAAAACTGAACCACCAGGTGTTAGTAAATGGCTGAATCTTTTAATGACAAAAAGTATTTACATTAAAATCTCGTTATAATAATAAATAAACGTACAATAAAAGAGAAGCGGAAACTAACTTTGCTGAATAAAGGTGGATAGCAATTTCATAGCATTGGTCCAACAAGTGGGACTCCAAAACATTCTTTTGTGTTTAAGTGTTTAAATTAATTAAGTGTTCCAGAAGTGAATTAAGCAATGATGGCATTCTATTTCTTAGATAAAAACTTCCTTACTCTAATCCTGGTGTAATGATTTCATACCAAATACAAATGCTAACTCAGTGTGCTCTGTGGCAAGGTATTTTTGGCCATCTGAAATCCTTATTATTGCTTCAAAATCATATACTATAAAATGTTTATACCACACAAAGTAATTACCATGCTCATAGGTTGGAAACAGTGCCTTTGTCTATCGTCCTGTGCTCTCTTCCCCTACTTTTCCTGTAGAAATAGGAGTGCAAGGGACTGTCAGTCACAGTCCAGTCACACATGACTGCAGACAGTGCTTGGCCACAACATTGCTCAGCGTGGCCCCTCTGTTGTGCACTGGTTCACTGCAGATCAAGGACCGCTTTCCAGCTTTTTCCCGCTTACAGCTGATAATGGGAAGAGGGAGGTTTTACAGATTGGTAACCTTGTCTTATCTGGATGATGTCATGAACACGATCCTGTATTCATTATAATCATGCATTCTTTCATTATTCTATAGAAAACACAAGTTTACACTACCAAACTTAGAGAAAATATCTATAAAAATTACTGCATTTCACTTGTCTTCTTTTGATGGGCTACAAATATGTTAAATTCATAGGTTAAATCTGCTAGGCAGTCTTCTATATAAAGGAAGCATGAATTAGACACTTTAAATAAAGTTGTGGAAAGAGCACTTTCTAGAGATACTGTTGAAAAGGAGACTTTTAGAAAATATGCTGTATTTGGTCAGGGTTCCAGCCTGTAGCTGATTTCTAGATGCTCACGGAAGAACAGTGGTGTTAGATAGTGACACTAGGTTCATTTTGCCTGTTAGCCCGTCCTGTTACATTGTGTGACAGCTGCAGCGTCATTTGCATTTTTGAGCCCCCACGAAACTGCTTTGGGGTAGTCAGTTTTTTTCTGACAAAACTTTTAGGTTGGACAATTGAGCTTTGGATTTATAACTCTCTTTGCTGAAATATCACACAAAATACCATCTGTACCAGTGCCTCACAGCACTGCTGTTTGGGCCCATCATGTAGTTTGGGTCTCTGGACAACGCTTGCCAGGATGTCTTCCAGGGATGTGACCTAGCCAACGGAGAAAGCAGGGCGTGATTCTGCCGTGGATGTGGCCCAAGCAGGAATGAGTTGTTACAGCAATGGCTTATTTGCTGCTTAGCATTTTCTTGACTACTTGGCTAGGTCTGGGATCACTTCACAAACACTTTGGCATTGTTTTAATACAGTTAGGTAAATCTGTGCTTTCTCCTCTTTCTCCTAACACCTGTGGCACAGCACATGAATGTCAACTCTGTGACCTTTGGGGTCACAGGGGCAGGAGAGATCTGTGTCTAATAGTTTAAGATGTATATTGAATTCAGAGATTTGGAACATCTGATGTCCAGGTGGAACATCTGCTTTAGATGTCTGGAGCTCCCAACTCCAGAATAGCTCAGCACCTTGAGTAGTAAATGAACATTGCTTCATATCTTTGCTTTCAGTTAGGCAGGTAATGAGGCCTTGAACTTTGTTATCTCACATTCCAAGTTTAGTTCCAGATAAGCAGGATATTAGCCGGTTTGGTTGTGTTTCTTTGTCAGTTACCTGTTTGGAGCTGTTGAACTCTGTAAAATTAGTTGATTGCATTACACATTTGAACCAGGTTCTGCTACTTTCTAGAGAAATGTCTCAACCACGTGGAAATTTGCTATTTTGGGACAAGGATCTTTCTTCTCAATCACACTGTCCTCAGTACTTTGTCATCAGTGAGGCAGTAAAATTCCAATCAGTCCTTTTTTCCCAAAGAAAGTATTCCTTCATTTTGCCAGATGAGCCATTTTCTCAGCTGGTTGAAGTCACCTAGAAGAGATTCACGCATGATTTGAAGAGAATGGAAAGGACAGCTGCTACATATCATTGATATGAGGACAAGTGACCATATAAATGATTTCACAGTTCTAGGCACATGAGGTTATTTTGAAGTCACTTTTTAGTTAAACAGGCTGTTGGTCTTCTGGCAGTAGAGAAATTTGCAACTTGCCACCGGATACCTCTGCTCTGGTTCTGTTTATACAAAATACTGTCTGTTTTTGTGGAATGCAGTTACCTTCAAAAGAAAGGTGTATGTGGCATTTACAATGTGAAAGGCAAAACTCTGCTTTTGCCTTACTTCTGCATGACTTGACTAGACTGGAACACTTAGCAACATTAACTGCAGTAATAGCTTCATCCAAGGTTTAATGGTATCAGTCTGGTTGTACATTAGTATGAGAAAGCCGTTCTTTCAAACACAGCAAAGAAAGTATGCTGTTACCATGCTCCTGCAGTGGATCAGTAACCATTTTTGGCTCAGAAATGGATAAAATACTTATTACCTGGATAGTTGTACTGAGGGCTTCTCCAGCAGCAGATTGATACCTAGACGATAAGCAGGGGGTGGAAGAATAGAAGGCTTTTCCTGGGTAAAATATTAAGGAGTAAATAGAGGGTGTCTGAACTGTTTTAGTTGCGGAGCTGATCATGGTATTAGAACTTACAGGACTCCTGTAAGAGGCTGGAGAGGTTGAAGGGGAGAACAAAATATTATGCCATCACAGCTTGACCTTTGGTTTGGATCTTTCCCTGTCTCGCTGATTGCTGTGTGATTCAAATTATGTGTACAACATGGATAGAAACTGTGGCTTGTCTGAGCCAGGTTAGTCAATCCTCTAGGTAGATGGTTGGATGTACATTTTGCTAAGGGAAATCTATGTTCAGCTGCAGCACTACAAATCAAATAGTAGATGCCTGTTATGACACTGTTAAGGCTTAAAATTGAACACAGTATGAAGGTAAAACATAGTTTAAATTCTTGGTCTACAAAGCCCTTTAGGTTCTTCAAATTTTTCGGAAAGTCCTCATTTTCAATTTACTACAAATTGAACATAAGCAATTTTTACAATCTAGCAGAAGGGTTTTATAGTCATAAGTTCATCCCATTTACAGTGAGATAACTTGTGTTTGCATTTTAAATATTCAGTGAGTCCTTACATAGGTAAATTCTGTACTCATTACTGCTTGTTACATCTGATTGAATATACTGTATCTAATTTTGTCATTGTTTTGCTTCTCAGGATCAGATCTTTATGGAGAATGTTGGTGCTGTAAAGCAGCTTTGTAAACTAACCAACAATCTTGAAGTCAGAATAGAAGAATTGGAACAGTGGAATAGGAAACTGGCCAGGCTGAAACGGATGAGCAGTTTAAAGTCAACAGGCAGTGAAGAGAGCAAAGTCAGGTACCTCTGTCTGGAATGTTCTCTGATGATAGTTGTCACAGAAACTGGTAAGGTGGTCTCTGTGGTAGAAGTGAAAACCGATTTTGCTTGACAGTGGAGTTCAGCTCATTTCTAGCATTTAAGTTGGGCAAAAAATGCAAATTTCTCATATTTTTTAACTCACTGACAAAATCAGTATTTGAAATGGCTGTTAAATTGCAGTCATTTTTGTAATTGCTTCAGTTGCACAAAGCAAGAGTAGATTATGTCCAGTTACAGCCCTGGAGCTTGGAAATTGCTGCTAAGAGAAATCTGCAGAGCTTCTTCTGCAAGAAAGAATCTTTATTAGTGCTTCAGTGGAAGTGATGAGCATTTTCTATTTCTAAACCATTTCCCCAAGTTTTCTTTGAAATCAAATGTAGCATTTAATAGCATTCACCTGAACGAGTTAACTGGAGGCCTTTGTTCTTGAAAATGAATCTGATGACACTTTTGCCTTTCTCTTTTTAAATGTTAAAATTGCAAAAGCAAATGACATTAACACCCTATTGAAAATGTCTCTTTTTCATTTATTAGTTGCTGAAGCATTTGAATGTTAAAGAGATTTTCTCTCTTACAGCAGGTATAGTCGAGCTACTAGTCTTTTGTCATCAAAAAAATCAGTCCTGCTAAAATCCAGCAAGGTGAGTGAAATTAAATGAAATATGCCTATGAGAGAGTTTTTGTAAGTGCTGAAATATTGGTGAAAGCTTTCATGTTTCTCAATATAGAATCAAATTCCTTAGCCAGAATTATTTAGTGTCATGCTAGAATCTTAAAAACTAACTGTACTGAGATAGAAAATACATGTGAGACACTTCCACTTCTTGCCTATACATTGTGTGTGTGAGAGTAGATCCATGCTGTGTGATGGTGTGAAGGAGGAGACCTCAACAGGAGAGAATTGTTGAGCCTGTAGGTGTGCTCACATGGTGCAGTGTAGCCTTACACAGAAATGCTTGTTTCTGTTTGGAAGTCTGCACAGTGATAATTCTTCCTTAGCTTTCTTCCTTGGATGAGTCTTTCACTGTGGTTTGCAGTTAGTGTCTCCTGTTTTGTGCTGGATAATGCTGTCTTTCAGGTGGTTAAGACCTGGATAGGATGTTGTTGCTATTGCTAAATGACTTCGTCTTGCCCATATTTTGGTATAGAAAGAGGAGACCCCTTTTCACGGGGATTGAATACGTTAGGGAATATATGTTGACCTTTTTCAAGAGTGTCTTCCTAGGCTGCTAAGTCCTGTTCTCTAAGATGAACCAACGCTAATTTGCCTACCTTGCTTTTGCCGGTGCCAAAGAGCAAGAGAAAATAATAGGTCAAATGTTCTTTATTCCATAATGACAATCAAATGCTCCATCATCTAAGATCATCCTACTTGTTTGTAAAATGCTTTTCTTCTGTTTTTACACCAGGTTTAACATGGTCAGAGCATATACTAAAAGCTGCTCATCTTTTAGTTCTGGCCACTGCTTACTGAGTTCTTAATTTGATTTTGAAATACTTCAAGAGTATGAAAAATGGCACCCTTTCTTCTTGTGTAATGTTTGTGTCCCCAGATTATCAACAGTGTGCAGTGCACTCACAGTTTAGGGAGCCTTTTGTTACTTAAGTTTTTCTCTAGACATTGACCCCTATCTAAGGATGACTTGTACAATTCCTCTGAAAGAAACAAGTTTAAGTTAAAGTCAGACTAGTGTAGTATTTCTTAATCTAGTTACGTGCCACTTAAATTAACCAAACATTTTTTTTTCTAGGTTTGTTTGTCAAAGAGGAAAGAGTCTTGCTCCATGAAGATCTTCCGGGTGACTATAATAGCTTTGATTGCTATTATGGCACTATGGTAACAATTAATTATCAACAAGTTGACTTGTTTCTCCCTGCCCCTTTCTACTTATCTCATCAGAAAGGAGATTGCAATTTTTTTCTTCTTCTCACCCTTCCTACTCAAAGAACACAATGTATTACAATTAACAGTGAATATGCCTGGTAATACTGTAAAGTTGAAATCATTTTAGAAAAGTGAGGTACTCATTTGGTGCACACGCTAATCTCTGTCCATGTCACAATCTATGGTGCACCTTGTATGTGGCTCGTGCTAAAGGTTCAAAGCTGGACTCGTGAGACTCTGCATGTTTTATGCAATCACTCTGTGCCTAAGTACAATTTCTGATGTACAGAGTGATTCTGTTGTGTGAAATGAAGCTGGACTTGTTCCCAATGTGGTGGGCAGTCATGTGACTCTGAAAGTTTAACTTGTGACATTGGACTTGTGGAAAGAAAAGTATGCTCTGGACTTTTGAGATTGCCATTTTCTGTTTCCAGTCCCAAAACCTGTGGCTTACAATCTCTCTGTGAACTGAGTACTTTGAACTGGTGTTGTCATTCTATTTACGATAGAAAACTGACCATATTTTGTGTTGAATTTAGCCGTTTACAAGTATCTGACCTAAACCCCATTATATTCAGTTGAAATTTTTCCCACTAAAAGGGAAGTGATCAGGTAGTTAACTCTTACATTACTACATTTGGACAAGGTGGTGCCAAAGTATTATTCATATTATGTTACGTAAGAGATGGATGTAAATCTACAGAATAATTCTCTTTCTACAGTGCTTTGACAATATCGACCCTGTATTTACTTAGCGTTCATGACAGACATTTTGAAAAACATCAGATTTACAGGCAAGTAGTTGAATTAGTGTTAGTGAATTAGAATTAGTAATAGGTTGTGGACCAATCTGTTTTGGTCCACAACTCTGATGTCCATTTCTTAATGAATTGTTTTTCTTTTTCTTCATCAGCAGTACCTCAAGTTCTGTTGTACCCTCTCCCTCTACCACTACAGCAGGTACTGTATCTCTGCTGGTCTGCATACACGTAACAGGCTTTCAATTTCTGTGCTATTATAAAATGCTAATAGACACACAGCACTAGTAAGAATTATGTCTTTTTTTTTTCCTTTAGCATGGCAGGGGGAAAGCACAATTTCTCAGAGCACGCAAGCCATCAGCAGGATCCCTGAAGTGAATTTCTGTGACATTTTGCCTTGTGACAAAGTCTATTGTTGTCCAATTCATCAACAAAAAGTCAAATATCTAAGTTACGAGAAAAGCAATGCAAAGGAGAAACGTAAGTTGAAACATTAATTTCTATTATTTACCATTTGAATAAACACTATATGAAGAGTGTGGGGGAAGGGGCAAGAATCTTTAAACGTAGTTAGCTTCCAACAAAAGTGCCTAGTCCAGAGGATTTAAAAAATCCTGATATAACTAATCATCACTGTAGCCAATATGTTTTTGAAAAATCTGGCCTGGTTACCTTTAAGAGTTCTGGGTCGTAAGATGTTTTGTCAGGTGTCATTGTTCTTCCTGGTCTTCTTCATGGTAAATGATTTCGTGTGAACCAGAAAGTCATTAATGCTTTCAATTAACCTTTGGCTACAGTTGGCCAGGAGTTGATTGGGGGTAGTGGAGGGTGAATTAACAGATGTAAAAAAATCCAAAACATTTAATGGTGTCACAGTGTGGGGATACTACATCTTTTCTGTGGGCAGAGACAGAAATTTAATTGCCAGAAAACATAAAACAGAATTAAAACTCTGCTCATTCAGACAGGGTATTTGAGTAGAGAAATGTTATTTGAAGGCAGAGCTCTATGAAATAAATTACTTTTACTGGAAAGAATTCTCTTTCAGATATTGTCTGCCAGATATTATGTGTGTAGTATGTGAGTAGGTGTATTGTTTACAACTTTTATAATATTTATGAGAAAGATTTTATACATAAAGGCATGTACAAATTGTTGGAATCTGTATTCCCCTTTCCCAGACCTTAACACTGTCAGTGTCTAGCAGCAAGTGTTAGTATTACTAAACCCAGCATCCATACTCTTCCTTTCTTGGCCTTGGGAGCAATTCTTGCACCAACCACCATTGACAAGTTGAGGTGAAATCGGGGACGAATGCAGTTCAACCTCTGAAGTACAAATGTGTACCGGGGCAGGCATTGCCAATTGCTGTGACACTCTTACCACACGAACTGTTTCAGTGGGATTCACCCACTGGCCGTTCTTTATACTGCAAAGTGCTGTTGTCTGCAAACAAGCTGCACATCAGTGGTCCTTGTGATTCTTGTGATTAGTGCTGCAGTAAGCCCTGTGGCAGATATAGCTCAATACAGTGCTTTCAAGAGGTCATACCTAAGTGATTTGTATTGCTCTGAAGCCTGAAAGAAATTAATCTCATTTACAAATGAGGGAACTGTAGATGGATGAAAATGAAATATGAAAACCTTCTATCCCCAGCTGGCTGCTTTTGATATTAGGTGGAAAGAGAAGATAAGAATAAACACAAAGCATTACCTTCTCAAGGTCTTGTGCTCCAAATAGCATTAAGTGTGGATCCAAGAGTGAAAAATCAGCACAGTACACAAGCTACTGAAAGATTTCAGATCTGCTCAAGTTTAATGAAGCTGAATATATCCCCAGACGGAAAGTAACAATGTCAATATGAAATCCAAACAGAAGGAAAACCAACAAGCTGCTTAATGTAGCTGTAGCCAAGATAAATGAAAAGGAAAATGTTTTCAGAACAAAAAGCTAAGAGTTGAATATGGGGAATAATCAAGATAAACAGTGGATATTTTAGAATCAGCTGATTAGTCTGATTCATGGAAAGATAAAACTATTTGACATTACAGTTGAATTAAATGCTAATTTAGGAGTTCATATTTAACAGACCTTTTATTGTTCCACCATGTGATACCTGAATTCTGTGGGTGCAGGCTACTACTGAGTGCGTCCAGTGTAGATCCTAATCCCTTGCGTCTCAGATGAATTGAGGAGAAGGCTGTTAGGAGTGTTGAAGTAGGAACAAAAGCATTCATAAGCAAGAGAAAATTTATTAAACAAAAATTCAGCACATCTTTATGTAGTCTAGCTTAATGTGGCCTTTTTCCTTATACTTTATTTGTTTTAAGAACTGGTTTATCTGAAGAATTTAGACTTTTGAACTCCTATTGATTTCAGTGGAAAGGAGGAGCATGAATACTCTTCAGCATCTGGGCCTTTTCTGCTCTCTGCTTCCATGCCATTAGTTCTCATTGTGTTAAGTGTCACTGGTAACTAGGGGCTCTCCGTAATTTCTCTTAGACTGTTGTTTCTCCCTGGTGTCTCTCCCCTCACAATAAAAGCTTGGTGAGGGCTCCTGCTGGATTTTGGTCAACTTCATGTATTTTCATTTATTGTCTTCAGATGGTAGTTAATGGATTCATAGCAAGGTACTACCACAAGAAATCATCAGCAGGTTTTTTCCATACTGCTTATAGAATATTACAACTCATCTGAATTAAAACCAGAAAGTGCTTGAGGAAAAAAAAAGAATACCAAATTTATTGGATGAGTTTATCTGAATCTTATCTGAAGATGATGATTGTCCTCATTACATTCTGGTCATGCCTATACTTTTATGTTTGTTATTGAATTGGATCTTCACACCCCACATGGGCCTTTGAGAAAGCCCTCAGAGTTACCATATGCGACAGAGTGGAAGTTTACCACTATTTATTGAAGGCTGCTACAGTATTTTTTGGTGGTTCCTAGTGTTCTCAATTGGCAACTTGAGCTCCAAATAAAAATAACTTCAGTGTTCTGTTTTCTACATTTCATTTGGATTGCATCAGCTTAAAGGATGATGAAATAATAATTTTATGAAGAGTAAAAAACCAAGTAAAAATAATTTTCTGTGCTGGTTACTGACTGAGTTTAAATAGTTGAAATCATAGTGAAGTAAATCTGTGTTCATCCTAGTTTTTATACAAATTTCTGATACCCACTTAATGCTTTCTCCCATCATCTGTCAAAGAATAACAGTATTCAATGTTTAGTAATTCAGAGTATGTAATAAATATTCCTGCCAACACTTGCATAGCTGAAGTATCGTATCTACAGGGCAACATCTTTCTTTCAGTGAGCAATCTTTTACCTTTACCAGGGGGTACAGGTTTTCCTACAGAATAGTTCTCTGTTAATGAAAATGTAAAAAGGCAGGGAACATTTAATGCATTGCTAATGTATCTAGACTATTTAGAGAAAACAGAAGAAAGTGAAAGGAAGATGTGACAACTAGTTTGTAAATTAAAAGGAAGAATGAGAGAATGAGTAGGTCTTTTTTAGATCTGCCTCAAGACCTACCGTACATGTATAACTAATTGCATGTGTTCAGTAGCCATTTTTCTAGGTGTGTGGCAGCAGATCACTGTGTAAAGAAACGGGACAGCAGATGACCACTAAATGCAACAGTTACCACTTAAGTTGGCAGACCTGGCAAATGTGTATGATGAGCAAGTAAATAGAAAATGGATTCGAGGAATAACTAGCAGCAGTATCACAGGTTCATATCAAAACACAAAAATGGTGGAAATCCCAGAGATACTTTTGTATTACATTGCTTCTGGGTCCTCAGATTCCAGTTGTTAATGTTGTTCCACGCAGTAGTCACCTACTAGCATGAGGAAAGTCTGAATTTTCGTACTTCCCAATATTGAAATGCAAACGAAAATCTGGAATGAATAATAAAACAGTAAGGTCAATCCAACTTTCTTGTTTCAATCTCAGTGAAATAAAGCATTATGATCCTTCCTTTTGTAAAATAAATTTTTATACAATGAAGCAGTGACTTCTGTTCTAAACAGTCATTTTGAAATCAGAATGTTTCCTTTGGAAAATGTGGGAATGGAGCTTTTTGGTATTCTAGAAATACATGATTCGTTTTTTTCCCAGATGAAATGGTATTTGATGAAGCATGTTAGTTTAGGCAAGATCAACATTTCTCAGTGCCAGTTTATTGGTAACATGTCTCTGGACAGATTCTTGGCTGGCAATTAGTGTAAAAGCACAGGAATAGCTTTAAACCATTTCCCATGGGCTTGAAGGGCCTTTTGCCTTCCCCACGTTGTACAATATGGTGATTATTCAAAAGATCTTTTGAAGATCTTTTAAAGAGAAAATGAATAGAGTAAAAAAAAAAAAAATCAGCTTGTATTTCCCAGCCTACTTTAGTGTTTGAAATTACAGAGGTGACATCAGTGATCATGGTGATCATGTTGTTAGAGCTGTATTAGTTTCTTTAATTTGGTGACTCATCCTTCTCTCTCTGAAGTACTGTGTCTCACTTGGGTCAGTCCTCAGTGTCTTACAACTCACATTCAAAAAGCTAAGTTATTCCCCTGGCCTATGTTTTTGTGGCAGATGCCTATTTATTCATTTTCTCACTAATAAGAAAGATGTGGCTTTATGATCAGATTTGTGCTGGAGTGCCTGACTAGATGCTGACTTTCATTGCCTCTCTATTATAACAATTGGTGATATTCTGTGTGTGGGATGAAATCTTTTCTATTACGCTATGTTTTGAAATGTTTTAGATATCCTGTAGTATTTCAAAAGCTTGCTTCTTGTTATCTACAAACTTCTTTTGACTGTATATATCTTCTTCTGAATAGAAGTGCTTTGTATTTTCAAGGTTTCTCTTGTTGGTTATGCATGCCTTTATCCAAGAGATAATTAACAAAACACCTTCCGGTGTTGTATTTATGTTTTGCTGTTACAACTGTGCAAGGCTAACTTGGGGACATTTGTACATACAACCTTTCACAGGAAACAAAAGTAACATGTTACCTGAAGGAGATCCAGTTAAAAAATCTAATGGAAGACCTGATCTTGGAAATGACTGTAAGTCCCATATTTTTTAAAAAAAACTGTTGAAATGTGTAATTGTATAGCTTTGAAGAGCTACCTTTAGGCTTGGAATTCTGCTGCTGGAATTTAGAGAAGTTTCATTTATAACTGGTCATTATAGAGAGTTAGTACTTAGGAATCTATTAAATACCTGTGATTCGTTATAATTTTCTTGTCATTGCAATTTATTCTTACATCTTCATTTGATTTTTATAGATGTTCTGGCTGCCCTCTCTAGAGAGTTCTTAGACTTTGCTTCAGGTGCAATAAATTGACAAGTGACGTTTTCCTTGACAGGGGCTGAAATCTTGTAAGGTGCTCAACACTGCTAACCCTTATACAGCAAAATTGCTTAAGCATATAAGTGTGGTATTTGTGTGCAGGAAATGCACGATACGGTGTAAAGGAAGTGTTTGGGGTTTGGCCCAGTTGACCTAACAGATTAAAAACATCGGCTACTGAAAGGGGCCATCTCTACCTTAGGATCCTGACGCTGCCTGCATCAGTGGAGATGCAGTGGAGATGAAATGAAGTTCTTCAACACAGGACATTTGATTTCAGGCTTCCCTTTTAGTGACTGCGCACTGCTCTCAGAGCCAGTCTGGGCTGAAAATACTGATTCTTTTCTGTGAAGATGAGTATCTGCTGATTATGTATGTTATAATGGCATGCTCTGACATTCATTCAATATAAGCAGGATTATGCCTTGTCTTTTCTGTTTATGTGGATGCTCTGTTGTAAGGTTTGGGTTTTTTTATAAATGTTTGATTAAAGATCAGGCAATATTTGGATGATAAAACATCTATACACTGGCATGCACTTAAAGCAGGTTGCTACCCCGGGCCACGTGAGGAATAGAAAACAGGTTCTGCTTGTTGCCCGGGTATGCCCCTGTGGGATGATCTGGGAAAAATCATTCCCATTCTGATTTTTTACATGGCTACACACCTCAGAAAAGAGCCTCTGTGGCATTACTATGATACATATTGTAATGAGATGCTGTGTCATAGGGAAATGTTCAGCTGTGGGAGCTCTTTGAGACTAACATGCTCAATTTCCCTCTGTCACTTAAGCATACATGTGGATATTTGCATGCTGAAAGTTAAGTATATGCTACCACACAGATGTTTTATAATCAGAGCACAGGTCAGCCTATAATCATTAAGATTCTTTGCAAAGTAGGAAACTGTTGCTGTAGAACAGAGGAACAGAAACACAAAACCAGTGTTCACAGGGCAATGTAAAGAGCAGGCTTGGGCCTCCTGAACCAGGTCCTCCTTACACGTTGCAAGACTTAAAATTAGCAGCTTGATGCTGTAGGCAAAAGCTGGAGTCTGGCTGTCTGCTGATGGCTCACACACTCCCTCCACACCTGGGCCTTCCCCAAACCATTGGCAGTGTGAGTCTAGGTCTCCTCGGGGTTTTAAACCCGTTTGGCCCCTTCTGTTTGAGGGCCCTCCACAGTTCAGACTGAAGTGGGCTGGTTTAGGGGTCTGAGATGCTGCAGGTCCTAAGTATGGACCTGCACTGATCGAATGCTGTAGATGTATCCAGAAGAAATAAGCTTTTCAGGTTGCAGCTCAGTACAGTGATTGCTAGGCCAGCTGTGAAAGCAGAAGCTGTGCTGCTGTGTTAGCACACTGGCTCTTGCTGCCTAACTCTCCACCCGGTTAATCTGCCTCGGGGAAGAGCCACACCATTATGGCTATATTCTTCATCTCTCCATAACTGGCCACCTTAGAGAACACCTGCATGGCACAGAGGTGCTGGCCCAAGGTATCACAGGAAGCCTGTGGCAAATGGGGGAACTTAATCCAGCCTGGCTAGGGACATAATCACTCTGGTAACCAGTTACTTTCCTCATCTTTCCTGGTAATCAAGCTATGGTTTGAAGTTGTTTTTTTCCCCATAAACTGGTTTTTCAATTACTAGTGTCTAGATATCTAACTGCATTGCGTGCTGCCCTGAAACATATTTTACGTGTGCATAAATACAATGTATATACATCTGTTTATACATAGGATGTTGGGCTAATTCTAAAATACAAATTTTTGTAGAATTTTTATTCCATGTTCCCATTCCTCAGACTGTAAACTTCCTCCAAGTTCAGGATGTAAGTGTTTGGAAGATACCAATATAATATCCTGTTTTTAGTTGTTCCTATTGCCACAGTTTACTTAGGATCAAAGTGCATATATATTTTTGGTTAGCTGAGCATATTTTGATTCATATTTCCTGATGTTTGTATTAGAATAGATAGAATATTACAAAACTCTTAAGTTCTTGCAAGTTCAAGGCAGTGTTTTATGAAGAAATTGTAATATTCATTAGAGTTAGGTAGTTTTCCTGCACATAGGGTTAGAAACAAGTTTTGTTGCATTCCAAATTGTTTGTCTCAGCAAAGATAATGTTTTTCAAATTAATAGTTACTTGCATGAGCGTGGCTTCTAGTACATCAAAATGAACATTGGCACATTTGTATCCTACTTGGACTACCATCAAAATAGCCTTCAATGTCTGCCCAAAATAAAATGTTACAGTATTAGGTGCCTGCCCACCTAATATATTTGTCCTTGTAAATCGAACAAGGATCTTCTCTTCCCTGTAATGGCAGAATGAAGATAATCAACAAAAGGCTTTTTACTGAGCGCTGATTTAGACCTGTAGCAACTCCTGTAGTGGCAAGCAAGGAAGTAGATGCCACTGTATTAACTGCAATTTTATTATGCTTTTATCTAAGATTTCTGAAATAATCAAGAAGAAAACATTATTCTTAATATTTTTAGGGATTGATACAACAATCAGTTCCATACAGATTTTGGAAACTCAACAAAGCATTGACAGTCATTATTGTAGTAGAAATCTACAGTGCAGGTAGGTAAATTGTTTTAATATACTTTATTATGGTGGAATAGAATACCATTAATGTGGCATGGCTACTTGGCTGGCTTCTTCTCACAGTTGTTTCCTCTAGTGTGCAGGAGTTTTTTCCACCTTTTTGTATTTTTTCTTTTTAAATTTAAACGCAATTTTCCATGTTTTTGCAAAGATACTATCTATCTCAAAATCTTATGTGCGTTAATGCCACCTTTTTCAGGTCTGGAAATTACAGCTATGTTATTCCTGTTAACAAATATACGCCCATGGATGTAGAAATCTCACTGGAAATAAAGTAAGTACAATTAAAGATAATACATACATAACAAGACAGTGGTTCTTTTTTTTTTTTATAGTAATTCTTGCCTGATTTCTATTGTGACACTAATTTGTCCCTACTCAGAGGAGTGGGACAAATCTATGCACAACTAAGTTCTTAACGTAGACCTTTGGGTAGATCCTTTGCTGTAGCATAAGCCCAATACTGCTCTCAGCCCAATGACAATTTTCACCCATTAATGCAGATACTAAAGCCCAGTAGTATTAAGGTTCAGTTTAATAATCATTTGAGCAGACATGTATGCATATATTAGCAGGATTGTGGCCTGTAGACTAGGAATTTGGTGTAGAGAAATATTATTAGGAACACGTATATATAACTCCAGAGAACACCTTTTTTGGCCAAGCACTGTAAAAGGGTATTTTTGTGCCGGAACCTCTGGTAATGTATAAAATTGTGAATTGCAGCGGGAATAAGCAGCAAACTTACTCCTCTCAGCAGATACTTTCTCCTCAAATAAAAGTCTAGCTCCATTGTGTTCTCTTAGAAGTAACAAGTTCTTTCTTTTGGGGTTCTCTGAGAAGGGCCAGCGATAGCCAGAATAGCTGCCAAACACTCTGCTTGATGACACTTCATGAGTCCAGTCTCTCCAAGAAAGGGCTCTGTGAAGTTGTGGTCTTTAGGTCCAGTCTTTTGATCTTGAATACTATCCTTGTAAACATCGCCTTTTTCAGATAAGAGAAAATATAACAGTACTCCTGAAATGCCTGCTTCTTTTCTACAGCAGCTGAAAATCTGTCTTTTAAGTGTGTGCCATTATAAACTAATAATGCGACCCTCCCATGTAGGGATTAATACATCATACTCAGAGTTTCACTGTAGCAGGTGCTGAATTTATTTTGGATATTGGTTTGTCGTTTGGGGGAGGGAGATTTTCAATACACACCTTTGCTATAAACTTTCACTAAACGAAGCTGCAAACTTAACGAAACCCAAAACGCTTAAGAAAACGTAAACATATTTTGGATTATTGCTGTGTCCAAATATTGTAAGACACTGTAATTACTTCAAAAATTTGGAAAACTTTTATGCCTGCTGAATAAAATCAGCTGAAACCAACACAGATTATTGCTGACAGCCTGTGTAGGACAGAGAATCTGCCATATATGAATTATATGCTTTAAAATGGATGTTTCTTAAATACCTCGTTAAGGTTGTGAAAGCACATTTTGCTGGGGGTGCTTCATTGTTCCCCAGAGCACAAACCATAAATACTCATGTCACCTTTTCCCCACCTTCTGCTTTCATTTTTTCTGCTAGCCATTGCCATATCTGAGTTCCTTTGGATCTCCAAGGCATTTTTGTTTGTTTATACTCTTCTCAGAAAAGCCATCTGGTAAGCTAGGAACTGCTGGAAGCCCTCTCTCTAGGGATAGTTTGGAGAAGATGTGACCACGGGGTCTTTGCTGTTGAAGAATTCTGAATGAAATTCTATTTACCACTGCTTTCCCAGAGAAAGTCTGGGATATTTTTACTTCTTTTTAGTGATATATTTGCATGTGTACAGTAGCAAATGGGAGTTATTTATATAGGTCCCTGTTTTAAGTCTTATTATGGGTTTGTCTTCCATAAAATTTATGTTGTGTTTAGATGCGCAGGTACTCTCTGGCACAGGTACGTTATGCCTATGCATGATGTAAACCATGCAACTCAAGCATGTCATGACCATTAATTTGTATAAGAAGTCATATACAATAGCTTCTGGTATGAATATGCTTGAGGTTTGAGGAAGTTTAGTGTACATTTCTAGATTTATCTTAACAACTGTAAAGATCACCCAGGTTTCCAAATGCCCTCCATTCGTGGGAGGGAATGGGACAAGATTAGAGGTTGGTGGCTTAGGTTTATCTCCTTCATACCAACCAGTGAAGTAAACTCCTCTGCTTTATTTCTCCACAATTCAATTCTTAGGATTTTTTTGCCTTGTATGTATTTTGTATTTTTATATATGATTCTTCTATTTAAGAGCAATCGGATAGATCCTTATTTTTCTCTGTTTCTTGAAGCACCACAGAACCATTAATTATATTTCTCTGCAAAGTCACATTTGGAAATTATTGCTCCCATTATTCTTCAAGCCGAAACGGTGGGAAGGACTTCCTAGAAACTACACAGGTAAGATTTTTGCAGCAATACTCTAGCTTGTGGGGTTCATTTCTATATGCTGCCCAGCACATGGCTCTTTTTTCATCTCTCACATTAAAGATACTGTGCAAAACTGACAATAAAATTGAGCTTTATGTAGGAAAAAAGTGTTCATTTTTCTGATAGTTTTGGTGGTTGAAGCCATACAATGCTGAAAAAATTTGTGATTAGCTTTAACCTCCCCTTGCTTTCCAGAATGGTGTTCCCTTCTATTAGCTCTGCTTTTCATAAAAGCATCAGAGTCTCATAAGTAAGACGTCATGATCCCTCGAATGACGCCCTTGATTCAAGCAACGTTGTGTGGATGGATTCTGGAGTAGAGGGAGATACGGAAGGTGGAAAAAACTTGTTATAATACCTAGTTCTGCTGAACAGCCTTATACACTGCTGTTTGTAATGAATGAATAAAGAGAGAAAAGAGACCATGAAGATCTTCAGTTCCAGAGTGTGGAAAGGAGGGTAGCTCATGCCAGCTAGTCACCTTGGCCTTGTTAATAGTGTGTTTATGGAAAAAAGAAATCGTCTATTAGAACCTGACTTACAAAATTAATGGCTACAAAATTCTGATCTTGATTAAGGTAGTAGAAATCCAAATGGTACTTTGAGTCTGCCAGTCATAGCTGGCTTTGGCATGAACATAATGAGATACAACCTTTTTGTAGGAGTCAGTTTTCTGCTGAATTTTATAAAAATCTATCTAGTGACTCTCTACAAGGGCAGTTTTGAGTCTACTTCAGCCTAACTCACCACTGTAACTCTATATATCTCCAGAGATACTTAAGAAATAGGAGTACTTTTCACCCAGGGCCTTAGGAGAGAGCCCTCCAAACTCTCATCTACTCTACTGTTTCCATAATTTTCTTGTGGGTAGTGAATTCCAGTTTTTAAGTCTTGAATTCACTGGAAACAATGGTAGTATTTCCCTTTATTTCTGTGTGAACGGGAGTTTACCAATAAAACTCTCTAGGGAAGGTTCTTAATTGTAAAAGCAAGAGTTGTTTACGTGTCGTTCTCTGGATTGCCTCAATGGGAATAAAAGCTGTTAAACCATGTTAGCTTTTCCCAGTAAAGAAGTATTTAGAGACTGGATCTTGCAAACTTTGATCATCTCCAGTAAATTGATGAAGGCCTTAAACTCCCTTCAAATTAGCTGGAAATAGAAGATTCTTTCAAGGCCTTGATTTGTCCACATTGCTTGGAAATGTTTATTCTGGCTAAAGCAGGAAAGGCAGAAGCAAGGATAGTAGCATTTCTGAACATATTGTAGGAGAAATTGTGCCATACGTGATATGTTCTTAACTGATTTTAAATTACTTTTTTGGTGGTTTGTCAAATAGAGCAGTTGGGATACCCCCACCCTTAAGCTGACTTTCTGATCAACTTTTCAAATGTCTTTGCAAAAAGTTACAGGCTTCTCTGCAACTGCTGCAAAGCCATCAGAAAGCCAAAATTGTCCAAGTTTTGACCTGTCTGCTGTAATTCCAACAGAATTGAAATTAAGTCAGACACAGAGAGTTTCGCAATCTATGAAGCTTACTGCCAAAACTGGTCAAAGACATTTCCTGTGTCAGCCTGAAATCCACATCAAAAGACTAAAGCTAACTAGCCTCCAGCAGCAGTGAGCATTCAGGTTTGATATGACTCAAAATAGAAATGCTGCCTAGTTGTAGAGGTTTTTTTCCAAGATTTTCCTAGGGACTGGAAGGCTTATTCCCTGCCAAAGGGTAGGACAGCAATCATCTGGACTCAGCAGTCTCACATAAGTTGTATCATGCGAACATATCATCTCCAACAGAGAGCATGTGTCAGAAAGTGAAGGGAGGAGGGAAAGATGAAGGAGTTGAGATGCTAGAAACTGATGAAATAAAAGTTACTATGGATCATTAGGTTAAAAAGAGGTGAGAATTGAATTTTATTTTATTCAGTGTAGCATAAACATTTCAGATACAAAATACATTATTTCATTTGTACCTGGCAGGACACGGCAATCAAAAATAGCATGAAATCTTGCCTGCGTCCGTTTTTGAAATACTGAGTGAAGATGCTTTTCATATCTTTAGAATATATAGAGGAACTTTCACTGCCTTCTGAGGACTACTAAAGTTGCTGTTTCAAAATCAACAGAATTGCCATTTGCTACTATTACACCCTAAAGCTCATGGGCTACCTGGCACATCAGGAACAGTCCCTATTTATTGTGGGATTTGCTTGGAAAACTAGAGAGGGAGTTCAGTTATTTAAAGCCAGCTGAGTGTCGCTGGGAGCCAGACGTCTGTCAGTTCCTGGGCAGAGCTGATCAAAGCAAACCCACATTTGCAAGGTTTAAAGTCAGCACTTTGTCTTTAAATACCCTGACTATAGCTATCAAGTCTTGTTATCGTAATTACTTTGCACTGCATTTGTCAGTGAAATGTTTCCAGAACCTAACCTTCTCTCCAATTTAATGTGAAATAAGGTTATCTAATCTCTCTCTCTCATTTATCATCTAGGGACGTCAGCATATTTGGGCTCTTCCTGTAGCTAAATTATATGACAGTGCATACTATTTCCGTGTAGCTGTACCGGTAAGCCTTTTCAAATGGCAACACAGCAAAAGACAAAGAGCATTTGAACTGAGAGAAGATCCTATATGAATCTCCTTTATTTTTCTTCTGCAGGGTTTTGCAGGCTGCTCGACAGATCCTTATTTTGCTGGAATGTTTTTTACTGATTACTACTTCTATTTTTATCGGCAGTGTAACTAAAATGTCACCGATCATTCTGTTCTTTGGGGAAAAGACAATGAAGCTCTTGATATGAAAAAAAGACTTGCGAATGGCCCTGGATATTTTTTTAAACCTCTTGCTGAGTTGTATGGCACTTTCTTGTTTGTTTCACTTTTAAATTAAAAACAAAGGAGAAAAATAAAGTGTTTGACAATGACTGGAGTTCTGTATTTCCAGGAACTGTTTCTAAAAGGACGTCAGCCAATGGAGTATATGATATGTAAATAAATAATCCCATTGATCATAGTGAAGTTATATGATATTGTACATATAACAGACAAGAAAAAATGGTAGAAGCTCTGCTGAGCTGGGATACACTCCAGTCCTCAGAAGGTAGTAAGACAATAAAATGTTACTTGCAGTCAGGAGGCCTGCTTCTGTCCTACAGGCATTTATCTTCTCTTAGTATCAGCTGCCCTTTATTTATATACATATCTATTTTTTTCCTAACAAAATCAAAACCAAACAAAACTTTGAGAGAGAAACTTAGCACTGTGCAAATGCCCTCTAAAATAAGTGCTGTTAAGTTAGGGAGCAACAGGTCAGTTCTACGGTGTGTGTAAGTATTTCCATTTCAGAAAGCGGTACCATCATTACCATTACAATTGTGTGATTTACCGACGCTGCTGCTGTTTGAATGAGATATGTTTTTTTTCTTGGTGTTTGTGATTTGTGCTAGTGTGATGAAAGAACAGAAATATTTGAGAAGAATAATGTCTTGTCTGCATGGCTTTCTAAGATGGATATGGATTCACACTTGCATGGGAGAAATCTTTCTGTTTATATTTAGGAAATACATTTTTAAGGTAAAGTTATTTGAATGAAATTTCACATTAGTTGCTCAGACAGAAAGAAAACAGATGTAATAACCAAATACAGTATAAACAGTGTTGTGGGGTATGTTTAGAACAATCATTCATTTTGTTAGAGAAAAGAAAGTAAATATAATGGAGAGACTGTAGGCTTTTAAAGATTTATTATGTAAATGAATGAAACTCTGAATGCAATTCTTTAGCAGTGAAAGGGAAACATTAGGAAGAAAAATTAATCTCTAAAAAAGAGCTGACCACAGTCTTTGTAAACACCTATGTGTCTTAACTGTGTATTTATTGCCTGATGATGCGATGGGAGAGTTTAATTTGTTTCTGTGCCTTCGTTTGGCATTTCTTTTGTCACTATTTTGGGATTTCCTTTAAGGGTGACCTTCTCACTGATTTTTTTAGATGTATGTGCTTCAGTTGGGGTTAACTGCAATGTCTGTAGGGTTTTTTGCCTTAAATGACTCACTACTTTGACCTTAAACATATAAGAGTTTAGTTTAGTTTTGTTTTGTTTTGTTTTCCTGGGAAGTATTTATGGTGTAGACCACATCGTCTGCAATATCCCAGAGACTAACTGGACTTGGAACTCTGGATCCAAAAGCATCAGAAGTTTGTGTCTTTAGTTTTTTATGGTCCATACTTGAGGGTAATTCCTAAGAAGTGTCACCCAGTCACAGGTGATAATGCATGTGCATTTTGAACAAAAATTGTACATTTCTGATTCAACTGTTTTTCATCACACTGTTCTGGGTTGAAATACTCTTCCCAGTGGCACAGAGCACTGCAGTAGGAGAATATAAGCTCCCAGTGTTTCCTGTCATCAAAAAACTTCCTGTGATTAGAGTCTGGGGTGAGATGCATGTGGGATAGTAACTATTTTTATTGTGAAAATGCTTGTGGTGATTTTATTACACATTGCTTTGCCCATTCAAGAATTTTCAACAAGTTCTTTACTCCTGTCATATGTTTTTAGTAAGGTACTCTTGAAGATTTTATTAAGATTTAAGATGACAAGCTGCTGTATGAAGGCTGTGTTCTAACATGTCCGAGGTAACAATATCAACAGTATTACAGTAAGAATCACCCAGATTAATGAAGAATGAACTTGGATGAAACTGAGCAAAGTGCAGCTGTGATGGAACCAGAACTGGCTTCAGCATGGAACACCTCACACCATCTCTCCTGCCCTGAAAGACTGTTGTGACAGATGGAGCCCAAGTCATGGACTAAATGAACCCAACGGACATTTTAGAGGGACGGCCCATAGACTAAGGGAATGATATCTGTGAGTATATATCAAAAGACAGGAAAAGTGGTGGTGATTAATTGGAATGTATTGGAAAATGTGAGACCTGGGCATGATGTAGATGGTATAGACTAAGAGGTGGATACTGTCCTGGTTTCAGCTGGGGTAGAGTTAATTTTCTTCCTAGTAACTGGGATAGTGCTCTGTTTTGGGTTTGGTATGAGAAGAATGTTGATAACACACTGATGTTTTAGTTGTTGCTAAGTAGTGTTTATACTAAGTAAGGGACTTTTCAGCTTCCATGCTCTGCCAGGTGCACAAGAAGCTGGGAGGAGGCACAGCCAGGACAGCTGACCCAAACTGACCAAAGGGTTATTCCATACCATATGTCCTGACCAAAGGGTTATTCCATACCATATGTCCTGACCAAAGGGTTATTCCATACCATATGTCCTGACCAAAGGGTTATTCCATACCTCGGCGAGTGGTGAGCAAGTGCATCGTGCATCGCTTGCTTTGTATAT